ATTGTAAATTTTGGTCAATGACATGAGACAAAGTATATGTGAACTGCTGTATGAAAAGTGAATTTACTCTGTAAATCTTCACCCAAATCCGAATTAAAAAAAAAAAAAAAAATTCACCAAGCTGTACACTTAAGATTCATGTATTTTATAGTACACTCTGGTAGCATAGTGCCTAAAGCACTTGACTGCTAACTAGAAGGCTGGTGGTTCAAACCCACCAGCCACTCCTCAGAAGGAAGGTTGGGCAATCTACTTCTGTAGTTACCACCTCGGAAACCCAAGGGAGGGGTCTCTATGAGTCGAGTCTGACTCAATGGCACATATCATCGACACCATGTTGTACATCAATCTAGTTTCCAGATTTTGTGGCCTTTGCTGAAATCACTCTTAGATGAACAGATCTTCACTGGAAATATGTGATGTGAAAAATGCAAACAGTCAGTGACTCTTTATATCTTCTTCCCACTCAGGATGTGTCTAGTCCGAATGAAGCAGGAAGGCCGGAGTGGGAAATACATGTGTCGTATCATAGTTCATTTTATGTGGGAGGATGTTGAGCAGCGTGGCAAAGTCATGGGGGTAAGTGAGTGCTGTCAGATTCTGTTCTTGGAAAACTGATGAGGGATTGCCTAACTCTGATTGGGGCTTTATCCATTCTAGAATGTCCTTTTAGATTTCTTTGGAAAGCCACATGATGTCAAATGACAGTACAGCTAGAGTCACTTCTATCTATGGAGACTGACATGCTATGGATCCTTATTTATCTGTTTGCACACATTATTGTGATTTGTCAGTGTAAGTGCACTCTTACCTAGAGGTGGGATTATAAAGCCGGATATGGAAAGAATCAAAAAATAATCCAGCTTAAGTACACTGTCTTTGACACTGATTCAGTATTTGAGCTAGTCTCCTCTAAATTAGTCCTAATGGAAAAACCCTGGTATGTGGCCTACACTGTCCTAAGAAACTGAAAAGCAAGCTTGTATGCTAGTACATACATATAAGGGGGGAATATATAGTCCATGTATGTTATGTGGAAATTGATGACAATAGAGAAACAAAAGCAAAACATTAGGATGCAGTTGGTTATATATTCTTCTGTGTATTTTGTATGTCTGGACTGTGTTGAGTAGATCATAGTTCCTGGTTAGTTCTCATTCTGTTGCCTCCCAGCTTGGGAGCACACAAAGCGGAACCATGAGATTGGGTCATAAGGTGAATTCATTTAGTTTCTTTCATTATAGAAAGAGAAAATTGTAAATTTTCTGTAAATTGAGAAGAAAACTTGTATATATGTACTATAAAAGTCACAAATGCTCATAGAATATAAATTAAATATTAAGAAACATTGAGTATACAAAAACAAAAGTGTCTTCCCCCAAATCCAGTGCCCCAGAAGTAACCAATGATTAGAGTTGATGTGTGTTTTTCTAGTTGTTTACTGTAGAAATACCAGTTTATAATAAATGTACATTCTTTTAACATAACACAAATGCGCTCATGCTATAAACACTTTCACATCTTTTTTTTTCACTTTCAGATAGATAGATAGATACTTTTTTTTACTTTGCAATTGTCTTCAAATTCAGAACTTTTAACTAATCCTAAAGTCCCTTTAATGATCAGTTTCTGGCTAATTACCTCCTTCCAAGAAGGAACCACTGTTTCCAGTTTGGTGTATATCTTTTAAGACTTTTCCCTATGTTATCTATAGAAATATGTAGTATTATTTTTTGTTTTAGTAGATATGATACCATTTCTTTGTATTTACTATGCAGCTTTTTTTTCACTCAATAATATGTGTTAGTGATCTTCCTGTACTGCACTGGAGTTAAACCATGTTTCACTTTTACTCTAGTTACTTTCACAAATGCCTGTGTTCTCTGTTGATACGGTGTGCTTACTTTTTGTATAAAACTGTAATCTTTGTACCTCATGGTGATGCTGGTTGCCTACTGGGAACCTGGGTTAAGGATATTTTCAAAGTGTCATGTCTTGGGAGGGACTACACAGGTAGGAAGCAAAGTAGACATGTGTTTGCCTTTAGGTATTTTCATTAACATGTATATGCCTTTCCTTGGGACAATAGACCATTGGGGCATTTCTGTTCATTCTAAGATGATAGCACGTATCAAGTTTTAGCTGTTGTTATTCTGTTTTCCAGTTAGTATTTAACTCTCTTTGTCATTATCTTCTTTAGTTCCTTGTCCCTTTTTCTCACTGTCATACCTTCCTGCTGTCCTCACTCCCCAGAGTGGGATCAGCAGACTTGCTATTGCACTTTTAACTCTTCATTCAGCTGAGTGTCCCATTTGCCCTCAAATCTCAGCTCTGTGGCAGCATGAAGTGAACATAGGGTGGTTTTAGCAGTCTCAAATAATCCCATTTAATGATGTCCAGTGATACCCTCTGGCCAACCAAAGCCTTGTTTGATTGCTAGGCAGCCAGGCAGTAGCTCTTCTGTTAGTGAGCCTGTTTTTCTTATTACTGTCAACTGAACTGCTGAGTATATCCCACCTAAATTTAATAGACGATCTCAAAAAGACATTTGATGCATTGAACACTAATGACTGAAGGGAGGACATCATACGTGAAGAAAGCAGAAGGTCATTAAAAAGACAAGAAAGGAAGAAAAGACCAAAACGGGTGTCAGAAGAGACTCTTGAGTCTTGCTCTTGAATGCAGAGTAGCTAAAGGGAGTGAAAGAAGCAAAGTCAAAGAGCTGAACAGATTTCAAAGGGCAGCTTGAGAAGACAAAGTAAAGTATTATAATGAAATATGCAAAGATCTGGAGTTAGAAAACCAAAAGGGAAGAACACCCTCAGCATTTCTCAAGCTGAAAGAACTGAATTAAAAATATATTCCTTGAGATGCAATACTGAAGGATTCGAATGGCAAAATATTGAACAACACAGAAAGCTTCAAAAGAAGAATACCCAGAGTCACTGTACCCAGAAGAATTGGTCAGTGTTCAGCCATTTCAGGGGGTAGCATATGATTAAGCAGTGATGGTACTGAAGAAAGAAGTCTAAGATGCACTGACGGCATTGGCCAAAAATAAGGCTCCAGGAGCTGGCAGAATACCAGTTGAGATGTTTCAACAAATGGATACAATACTGGAAGCACTAACTCTTGTGTGCCAAGAAATTTGGAAGACAGATCTACCTGGCCAGCTGACTAGGAGAGATCCGTATCTGTGCCCGTTCCAAAGAAAGGTGATCCAACAGAATGTGGAAATTATTGAACAATATCATTAATAGCACATACAAGTAAAATTTTGCATTGATAATTCAAAAACAGTTGCAGCAGTACATTGACAGAGAACTACCAGAAATTCAAGCTGTTTTCAGAAGAGATGTGGAACAAGACATATCATTCCTGATACAGATGGATCTTAACTGAAAACACAGAATACCAGAAAGATGTTTACCTGTGCTTTCTTGAGGGAGCTCTGGTGGCGTAGTGCCTAAGGCATTACTACTAACTGGAAGGCTGGTGGTTCAAACTCACCAGCCACTCCTCAGAAGGAAGAGCAGGCAGTCTACTTCCATAGAGCTACCCTCTCGGAAACCCAAGGAGGGGTCGCTGTGAGTCAAATTGACTCGAGGGCAGTGAGTTTGGTTTTCTTTCGGTTTGTGCTTTATTGACTATGCAGAGGCATTCAACTGTGTAGGTCATAACAAATTACAGACAACTTGTTATGATAAAACAATTTGAAGCACTTACTGATGAAGATCAAAGATGATAGCCTTCAGTACGGATTACACCTCCACATAAAACAAAAATCCTCACAACTGGATCGATAACCACCATCACGATGAATGGAGAAAAGATTGAAGTTGTCAGGGATTGACGTACCTTCTGGGATGTGAGAGGAGGGAACCACACTTTGGATAGCAAGGTTTTAGGTGATTTATAATATATATAAAACTTTTAAATTTGTCTTCATCCTTGGAAGGAAGATGGGGCAGTCTACTTCCGTAGTGATACTGCCTCAGAAACCCAAGGAGGGGTCTCTATGAGTCGGGTCCGACTCCACAGCACATAACAACAACAACAACAAAAAGAGAATTGCCAAGCACTCATTTAGTTACAAAGACTATAAATAAAAGATGATTATTTAAAAATAATAGAGATTTGAATTAATTAAAAATTACCATTTTTCCTTTTCTATTATAATAGATTTAATTTCAGTTCAGTCCCCCAGTATGAATAGACACCTTTTATACAAGTTTAAAAAAATTTACATTAATCACTTTTAAGTTGTGTGTATAGGGGTTCTCAGCCATCCATGTGTATACAACCTCCAGAAACGGGAAAGTTCGGAACACATGACTAGGGAGGAATAGTGGGCAGTGTGGAGTCTGGCCTGGTCCTCACTGGCTGGCAGACCTTCCCTCTGCTTCAGCTCCTCCCTTTGAAAAAGGGAGTTAACTACACGATGTGCAAGTTTCTTTTCAGCTTTGAGAACCTGTGATTTGGAGGTGATAATTTGCAAATCTGTCTTTGTGTTACTTGGCATCCCAGGTGTACCTCTTTAAGAGCACTCATATAAAAAATGGAACTTACAAAGCTGATCAATGTGTTATGATGATTTTTCTCGTGCCAGAGAATTCTTAGAAAACATTTCTTGAGTGGATTGATGTGCAGAAAATCGAGAGCCACTTACGAATTAATAAATCAAATTTTAATCAAGAACTTTTTTTTTCATTGCCTCCTGTCCTATTTATATGTACTTTTTTTTTTTTTTTTAATTGTCATTTGGGTGAAAGTTTACAGAACATACTCACTTTCCACATAGCAGTTCTCATACACTTTGTCTCGTGACACTGACTACAATTTCCCACAATGCAACAGCTCCCCTTCCACTTTTTCCCCATAGTTACCTCTTCCCTGTGTCCTTCCCTCCTTGCACTCCTGCCCCCGGAGCTTTGTCCCTGTGCATACACAGCCCTTCTATTCTCCCAGGATTGTCAAGAACTCTTTTGGAATTAGAATTCCTGTCTCATTTGGTGGGGAAATTCTTATTTTAAAAAAGTTTATTTTTCACTAGCCTTTTAGGATCCCAACTATTGTGAAAAACTGGGTAGACTCATATATCATCAGTGAAGCTGATTCAAAAACCAAGTGTTAAAATTAAGGTTACAAAAATCACATCAATAATTTTAGAGTGTTCTGACTTAAAAAAATAAAAACACATTATTTGGGATTTAAACATATAAATTAGCAGTGGAAATAAAGTGCATTATATCACCTCATCTGGTCTTGTTTTATTTCATTAACTGGTTCTTAAAAACCTTTGTGAGCTGAGTCGCAGCTGAAGAGGTTAGAGACCATTTTTCCTTGGGCCCTTGCCGCACTCCTGAGTGTTGGTAAGAGTAGAGAGCTAAGACTTGACACAGCTGTAAAAACAGACAGCGCCTTTGGCCTCAGCACTTTCTCCTGGTGCAGGCAAATTTCAGATGTAAATTTCACCCTGCCTCTCCTACTAATGAAGTAAGGTTCTTTTGCTGGGTTTGCAGCCAGGTGTGTCCAGTCTTATGGCTAACCAGGGCTCTTTACTTAATTTTTCCATTTGT